AGAGAGAGAGAGAGAGAGAGAGAGAGAGAGAGAGAGAGAGAGAGAGACCAAGGAAGCCAAGTGACAAGATATAGTCCAAGGTCATGCCCCCAGTGACCTACTTCCTACTACCCCACCTATCTACAGTTACCTTCTAGTAATCCATTAATTTATTAATCCATTGATGGTTTAATCCACTGATGAGGTTTCAATTCTCAGAATCCAATCTTTTCACCTCTGGACATTGCTACATTGCCTAACACCTGCGCTCTTTAGGGGACATTTTAAAATTCAAATCATAACACCTTACTTGGGAAGCAGCAGTCTTGGCACTGAAAATTTTCCTTGACGCATAAATAATAGAGGTGTTTTTAAGTAAAAAGAGATATAATAAGACTGTTCTAATCAAATTAGTTTTAAAATTTCACATTCTACAGTACAGAGGTATCTTTTTCATTGTAAGAAGTGATAGATTAAAATATAAAAAGACAACATTAAAAGGACTAAACCAAGTACAGAGTCCAAGGAAGTAAAATGAAACAGAAGTGCAAAGTAGCAATATGGACTGAAATTGGAGGCTGCCTGAGCACTGAATCTTTTGAAAAGAGGCAGAGGTGGAGACGAGTTCAGATCCTGGCCAGTTTTCAGATACACACAAAACTCAGCACACATAAAACTGTTCAAATGTCATCACGATTACACTCTCAAATTGATATTTACATTGTAAAATTATTATTTTTCATTTAGTCACGTGCTACCATCCTCTATCAAAACTCACTTTATAAGGGACCTTACTTTATAAATAAATTCTCTGGTTATTTCCTACCTACATTAGTAGCTAACCAAGTTTAATACAGACATAGACATACATATATATAGAGATATATACCTATATATTATAAAGTTTTAAGATTTAAAAATTGTACTTACTTTTTTAGCACATCAAACATGGCTTTTTCTACATTTACCAGCCACTGTTCTACAGCACTTCTTATACGAATTTTCCTATGATTTAAAAAAATTATGAAAATCATTAAATATTATAATATTATGAATATTATTTTGATTCATGTTTAAGCCTGTAGACTTAATTTTATATGCACATTTATAATAATCATGGGCTAAGAGGCTATAATTCTATATCTTCTGGCTTTTCTAGATTTTTACTTGGAAAATTAAGCAGAAAACATATTACCTAGCTTTAGGAAATTCTGATATCAAAACCATGAATAAACACAGTAGTTATATTCTGAGTAAAATATGAATGTATGAGATTGATAAATTGTATTAAAAAACATCTTTGTATGCGTCACTGAATCTTTTTAAGAGCCTTATGTGCTACTGATTGAGCTAGCCAGACACTTTGTTGGATCTTTTTTAAATAGCAGGATTCGGTTAGGGGCTTTTGTGGATAAAAAAGCCTGGCACAGAATTTTGTAAATGACCTTTATATCGGAGGCCACAAGCCAGCAGTTAGAGTGCCCTCACTGGGGCTGGCAAGTTAGACCAGTATCAAGGAAGGGCCTATCTCATTGCCTGGGAGCTCACCACCATGAAACCAGAGGTGTGTGAAAGCAACAATGACCCCAAATAGTAAACCTTCCCATTCAGAAAAAGGCAAGTGCTAAAGAGAGTTGAGAACTTAAGGCAGAATTCAATGATGGAGCAAAAGGCAGGTGAAAATTAGAAAGCTCTCAAGAGTTTGAAGATTACTTTTTTTTTTACTTTTAATCAAAGCTAAAGTGAGAAGAACATGTACTATAGAAAGTATCAAAAGGTAAAAGTGTATTGATGGAAAAATATTATCTTTGAAGATAGTTTGCTTGGCAAACTTCTATGAAATATCAGAGAATTCAAAGAGATTTTGAAATTACGAGGTGTTATGGGACCTAAATGTTTAGTTTTAGGATATTTATCATACTTTGGCAGCACAAGACCTTCTCCTTCAGCAGATATGAGCATTTTTACAGCAGGAGGGCCAATTTCTTGTTTCCATATCAACACTCGTTTTATGTTTTCAAAACATTTCTTAAGATGGGGCTGTGAACCAGAAACAAATGTCAGTAACATTATAAAATCCTGATCTGGTTAAGAAATAGTATTGCTGAACAGAGAATAGTGTTATTACCTGTACAGACTCAGGATTTCCACTGCCACCTAGAATATCAAGAAGTGTAGCATTGCTAAGAAAGTAAAATCTTGGGAAAATCGTTCTTTTGATTTCAAGGTAATCCTGTCCGGAATGAAAAGAAATGTAACTCAGAATATATGTCCAATCATGATATGAATCCCATCCACACTTGGACTACATTTACACACGGTCACCATGACATTAAAAGTATAGTATAATAGATGTGGTAGTATCAGTCAAAATGACATAACATGCTCAATTAAAGATATACTCAAGTTGCTAACAGACTTTTAACAGAGCAAAACAAATAAATAAAAATCCCAACTAAAACAGAAACAAATGAAAACCCCACATACATCATTTCATTATGGATCATTGATAAAACCCTGGATTTTGGTGTTATTAGCATTGCTTTTGCATGCTCCCACTTTCTGCTCTGCTTTCCCTACATTTGAAGTTATCACCTTGGAAAATTAGTCATCATTTCACAAATGACCTCTCATTCTACAGTACAGAGAATTCCTACACTTCCCACCACCTCTCTCACAACTTCATGCTAGCCTTAAGTCTTGCCTTCTTTTCAGAGAAAAAGGCATTCAGTTACGCCAGGTTAAAATACCTTGTTTTCTTTATTACCCCCCTGTCTTCCATCTCTCCCTTGCAATAGGCCTCCACCTTAAATTTCTCTCACGAAAAAGTACAGGAAGCCCTCCTTTTCCCTTTGCTTTCTTCTAGCTACTGTTACTTGCCTATCTCTTCTTTATACCAAAGTTCTTGAAAAGACAGTTTATTAACTCAAAAGCTATATTCTCTCAGTCAGTTCACTCTGCCTGCCATCTGGCCACTACTATTACCAAATTGACAGGGAGTGATATTTTCAAGGGTTTGTTGCCTCTGCTGTTTTTGTTTTTTATTTTTAATTTTCCATTTTACTTCTATAATTTTACTTGTTTTTCTTCTGTCTCTTGGCCACTTCTTATTTTTCTTCAAGAGACCCTTTCACCTCTATACCATAATTTTGACGTCTCTTGAGTTCCATCTTCATCACTCTTCACTCGTTTTATTCTTCTTGAGCTATTTGATACATACCCTTTTGCTTTTCAGCTCAGATCATTACTCTCTACCCTAGATTAATATACAGTTATATCCCCTTATCTGTAGGTGATACATTCCCTGAACCAATCACTTAGTTGAGGTGGCAACTAAGTGATTAGTGGGCAGGGACCACACAAACTGTGGGCATATTGGACAAAGGGATGATTCAAAACCCAGGCGGGATGAAGCAGGATGGTGTGGGATTTCATCACATTGCTCAGAATGGTTCATGATTTAAAGTTGTGAATTATTTATTTCTGGAATTTTCCATTTGTAGTTTTAGACTCTATGAATAATTAAAACCATGGAAAGTGAAACTGCAGATAAGGAGGAGCTATTGTACCCCATCGCCCATTGAAGGTGTTCACCTGAATGTCCCACAACTATTAGATTTAGAGTGTAAACAAAACTTACTTGCTTCCACACAAGCCTCTTCCTCTTCTGCTCCTATCTCTCTAATATGATTATCTTCCACCCTGTTGGCCAAGTTGTAAATCTAGACATGATCTGGGGCATCTTTATTTTATCCTCCATTTACCCATCCAATGCTCTTGGCTCCACTTTCTTTCGTTCTCACCACAGCATTATGTTAGCTGCCCAACATTTCTAGACTTTTTACTTGGATTTTAAATAACCATTTCCACTGCCTGCTATGATTTGGCTAGGGTTGGAGTGTGTTCCCCAAGGCTCCATTTGCTGAAATTTAATCCCCATTGTGAGGAGTTAAGAAGAGGATGGAAACTTATTTTGAATGTGTTGTTTAGGGAGGTGATTAGGTTTAGATGAGGTTATCAGGATGTAGCCCCCATGATTGAAAGACCATAAGAAATGCACAGGCACACATGTGTACTCCTTGTCTCTTAGCATGTGATGCCCTATGCTGCCTTGGGATTCTGCCAGCAAGAAGGCCATCACCAGAGGTGGCCCCTTGATCTCAGATTGGAACCATGAGCCAAAATAAATTCCTTTTCTTTATAAGTGCACAACCTCTGGTATTTCATCTCAGTGATGAAAAATAGATGACTACATTGTCCCCACTAGCATATCAATGTTTTGTCACATCTGAAACTCATTTTGAAATTGGATTTCCAATGTGATGGTGGCAAGAGGTGATGGGACCCTTAAGAAGTCATGAGGTCTCCACTCATGGAAGGGGTCAATGTTGCTGTCTGGAGACTGGGTTAATTCTCCTGGGAGTGAGTGAATTCCTGCTCTCCTTGGGACTAGATTAGTTACCACCCAGGCTTCCCTTTGTGTTTTAGCTCTTATGTTCCTGTTCACTTGCCCTTCCACTTTTCTGCCAGGAGGTGAAGAAGCAGGAGGCCCTTGCCAGATGTTGATGCCATGCTTTTGAATCCCAGCTTCCAGCTTCCAGAGCCAAGAGGCAAAATAGATTTCCATTTAAATTTAAATGTTTCCACTTTAAGTTACCAAGTCTTGTGTGTTCTCTTACAATAAAACAAACTAAGACAATGTCCAATCCATACTCTATGCTTTTTTGCAGAAAGATATTTCTGAATTAAATTATCTCATTCTCCTGTTTAAAATTCCTCAGTGGCTGCTCATCAAAGTAAAAACTCATTACAATCAATGTTCAAAGCCCTTTACTGGCTGTCCCCTGACTCCCTGGAGAATGCCATCTTTCCCTACCAGTTTCCCATTTGTTACATTTTATCTGTAACATATTTTTCACCAGAAGGTACCATAGATGGCTTTGTGCCTTTGTACTTTTTCCATTTGCCTAAGAGACTCTTCCCATCGACCCATCTGAATTCTGACTCTTACTTAGCTAATACTTCTTTTTTTTAACTTTATTTTAAAAAATATTTAATCTTTATTTGTAGTTGGACACAATACCTTTATTTTATTTATTTATTTATTTTTATGTGGTGCTGAGGATCAAACCCAGGGTCTCACATGTGCTAGGCGACCACTGTACCACTGAGCCACTACCTCTGTCTCTAATACCTACACTTCTTTTAAGATCTAGGTCAGTTATAGCTTCCCCCATGCAGAGTTAATTTCTCCTATTTAAATATAGTCATACTACCAAACTTAACATAGCATTGCAATAGTTCTTTACATTTTTTTCTTTTCTGTAATATGTTTTGAGTTCTGTGACAGTAGGGGATATGTATGTCTTTTATCTTTGTAGTCCAAGCACATAGCAGTAGTGCCTGGTATAAAGCAGGCATTCAATCCATGAAGAAATTAAAGATACGTGATTTGTAATGATTTTCAGATATAATCCAAAGATGTGCCAGAAATAATTGAAATTCTTATCTCAAAGATTGCCTGGTAAACTTTATCACTCTGGGCACAGCTTTTTATGCCTGCCCCAGAGCATGAATTTGTAAAGAAGAGATCCTCTAGAACTTTCTAGAGGCTGTGACTACCTAGGGTAGTCTGCAGGAGTCGTCACAACCACTCTGACTTGTGTTCAACAAAGAAAAACAAACAATGCTGGAACAAAAACTTGGTTTATGAAATGAAGTGAACACATGCATCTTGAATCCCAAATAAGAAGACCCAATATTTAAGGATATGAATCCAGCTGATGATTTAATGTTCTGGCAATTTAAGAATATGTGGAATCAGGGCTGGGGTTGTGGCTCAGTGGTAGAGCGCTGGTCTAGAATGCACGAGGCACTGGGTTCGATTCTCAGCACCACATAAATATAAAATAAAGATATTGTGTCCACCTAAAACTTAAAAAAAATATATTTTTATAAAAGAATATGTGGAATGAGTCATTTATAAGCTCATCAAAGTATTCTATTTCAACTTTTGCTGAACTTATCAACTTAATAATAATAGTAATGTTAATAAAATAATTAACCTTCTTTAAGTACTTTGTGTTAGCTCTTGGTGCTGTAGATGTATTATCTCATTTAGCACAGGGGGTACTGTCATTCTCAATTTAAACAGTGGGAAACCTGGGCATTCAAAAGTTTGGTAATTTGCCTGAGTATCCTTTAGATTAGCCCATCCATTTTTTTCTTTTGATAGTATTTTCATTAACACTATAGATTATGAGAATTGAAAAAATTGTTGGTAGCTAAAGTTAAGGAGAAAGTCTTCACTGGAATTTGTTTTTGCAGTGTATTACATTAGTTTTGTAGATATAAATGAGGTCTCATTTTAGGATTGCTATAGTTTTACCTCTAGACTTTTCTTTATATGCTCAAGATGTCTATTGCAATTTTGCAGAACTTCAAGGATTCCTGCTGAGATGGTTATTTGCAAAGCTTCCAGTTTGCCGTGTATTTTTGACATTATTTCTTTCCATAGGGAGAGCACCTCAGAGAAAAGTTTTGTTTCTGCTGGAAGCTGCCTTTAGAAATAGAATTAGACGTAACTATTTTTGAAGCTGCTATAATTAAAATCTAAAAATCATTTGCCATAGAATATTGTAAATTTATGAAACAAGCTTGGTATGTTTTCTTTTACTTGATCAATCATTAATTAAAGATATCTTATTATCTATTATATACAAGTGATATATATGGCAAGAAAACAAGATAAATTAGACTACAAGTGTCGATAACAAGATTATATTTAATGTGTAGTGGGAAGTAAATATAACAAGTTCTACAGAAAGTAAGTAGAAGCAGTTTGTGTTCTAAGAAATGTAATAAAAATAAAGAGTGCAATAGTTTTGATTTTGAATTTTCCCTTGGCCCCCATTATGGCACTATTGAAAGGTGGTAGAATCTCTAGGAGGTGGAGCCTAGTGGGAGAAAGTTAGGTAATGGGGGAGTGCCCTAAAAAGGGATATTTGTACCTCAGTTTCCTCCCCTCTCTCTCTTTGCTTTCTGATTGCAGGTTTGCTCTACCATTTGCTTCTCACCATAATGTATTTCCTAACCATAGTGACAAGACCAAGTAACCATAGACTAAAACCTTTGAAACCATGAGCCAAAGTAAACCTTTCCTCTTTATAAATTGATTGTCCAGGCATTTTGTCACAGTGGTAGAAAGTTAACACAAATAACTAGTGGACATTTTAGAGAAGCAATGGGATTTTTTGAGATCTGGGTTTTAAAGGAATATAGCTTTGATGTGAGGAGAAGGCAGAGAGGACATTTTTCTAAGAGCAAGAGCATAGAGGTGTACATAATACAATTGGAAGTTTTGTTAATGATTATCTAATCTTAGAGAATAAGGAAATGTAATACAGGTGTCAGCCTTGGTGTAGAAATTTTACTTTATGGATTATTATTATGGTTTTTACACATTGGAAAAGGAAGGCAACACTTATATGTGGCATGACAATCCATTAATATATTAATTTGAGTTTTATTTCTGTTGTTGTTGAGCTTAACTGAGGGAAGTACCTTCAAAAGTTGAGTTTGCTTCTCACCTTCTCTGATCACTTATATTTTCCACTCCCATCCCTGTAGCCCCAACCTGATTCAAGCTCTTCATGGCTTGGAAGTTGAAGTGCAGAATAAAGGTCTTTTTAATTTTTATGAGTTAGTGTGACTTTGAGTTCTTTTTTGCTTCTTGAATGCTTTCTGGCATGGCAAGTATTTATGGAGAATATCACTGGGGTTTTGGAGACACCTCAACAGGAACCTCTACCTTGCCCTTAATTTTCTTCGTTTTCCTTGCTGACCTCTTACAATCACTCTTCAAGCTCCTGTTCTAAGTGGTATAATTCTGGTAATCTCTTGTTCTGACCAGCAAGCTTTTTAGGGTCAATATCTTTCAAGATGGCTTTAGCTTGGAACTTTCTACTGTGTCTGCAGTATCTGTCAGAATTTTTCAACTTCCTCAGGACTGTTGACATTCTGTACCAGATAATTTGGTGGTGATAGTGGTGGGGTCCTGTGTATTGTAGGATGTTTTATAGAATCCCTGAACTCAACCCACTGGATGCCAATAACACCTCAATTTTGATAACTAAAAATGTTTCCAAGGTTTGCAAAATATCCACTAGAGGGAAAAATCATTTTTGTTGAGAACCACTGGCTTAAGATAATCATGAATTCTTGCACTTCTTCCTTATTTTGCTAGCGAAGGCTACTTCAGAATTCTCTGGAGAAGAGGCAAGTCCTTGTTTCTAATGCTTGACTAGGCAATAAATGTCAAACTCTCCAGAGAACCCTTCCACTATTCTCCTATTCCCCATCTAGGGTGATAGGCCCTAAATGTTTCTGCAGCTCAGTAAAACTTCTCTCATGGAGATTTCTATCTCCCCTTCTACTAGTCTGGAATCTCTCCCAATCTCTCTGGAAGGAATGAATGCAGTCCTTACAGCTAACTTGGAGTGGGGGGATAAATTCTCCATACAGAATTTTCCCCTCTGATGAATCTATCACTCACCTCTTCTTTATTCAGATATTCCTCACTGATTTCAAGGCCCATTATTCTTCACTAGTTAAAGGGAAGTCCATAACTGATGTTTTTTTTCTTATCTGTAGACTTATTATTTAGGTACCTTCAGCATCTGCTCATTAAAAGCCTCCTTTTCAACCTAAGCACACTTAGTAAAAAGACAACTTGGTCACATTTTGAACTTCCTCACCAAGGAGCATGATCTCTCCATTAATGAGGAAATCTTTGGTAAAATGTAGTATCAAAGTTCACTTTATTGATTTATTGATTGATTGATTGATGCAGTGCTAAGGATCAAACCCAGGACCTTGTGCCTGCCTTCTGCTCTCCCACTGAGCTGCATCACTAGCTGTAAAGTTTGAATTTAAGGCTCAAAGTCATAGCAACATAAAGAATTTTCTCTTTAGATATAATGTGGTTTCACCTTTGAAGACTTTCAGAATGACTGTAGGTTAATATAATAGAAGATTGTATGATTATTTTGTCTAGTTTAAATTCTGTCTAGATAACTCATTTGTCTGTACCAATCATTAAAAAAGTTAGAAGCCAACTAATTTGAATGCTGTGATTGAAATTTGTCAAGGCCATTTCTTCTTCCAATTGTTTCAAAGCAAGAAATTCTCATTCATGTATAAATGCAACTACATGTTCATCATTCACACCAAAGTCACACTAATATTCCAGAACCGAAAAAACAAATAATATTGTGGCTTAAGGATTGTAATGATATATCTAACACTTCTTCTCCAGTTGTTTATATATTTATGTCAATAATTGAGAACAAAGGCTTTCTGAAATAAAGATGATGCTTGTACTGTTTTATGAAGAAAAAAACTAACTAATGGTTCAGCAGACTATACTCTTATTTTGTTCACTGAAGAAATGATTTGTCAAGAATTGCATAAAAACACATTCCCAACCATGCTACATTTGGTATATTTTGATTTTTTACCTTTGTATTTCTAAAGAATGGAAGATTGGTTCAAGATAAAGCCATTGTTTTTGACAGTTCATCCACACCTCAAGGGTATGAGAAAAGAGTTTAAGGTATTGATCCCATTCATTCACAAGATCCTACAATGATAAAAGAAAACACATACACTTGCAAATCTAAATATATAAAATTACTCTAAGAGTCATATACCAGAAACTGAAATCAAAGCTCATTACCAATCACTGACATAGAGAAAATTATTAATAGAGGGTCACATAAATAAATATAAACTCATTAAAAATTTAAAGAATGTTTTGAAATTAATATTTTTCAATCCATAGAGTAGTGTAGGAGAGCTCTAGTTCCTCTACATCCACACCAAAAACTGGGATGATCAATCTTATTAATTTTAGTTATTTCTTCACACATGTAGAAGTATCTCATTTTTACTTTATCGTATTTTTAATAAGTAATGAAGTTAAGCATCTTTCCGTGTTTTTTTTTTCCCTCCATATATGTATTTGGTCGAGTGTCTCTTCAGTTTCTGGCACATTTCCTTATTGGGCTGTTTTGTTTTCTTATGATTGCATTTTGAGAGTTCTTTATATAATCTCTATATAAATCCTTTAACAGATACACACTAATATTTTCTGCTAGTTTATGGCTTGTATTTTTGTTCCTTGAACAATGTCTTTTGAAGAGTAAATTTTTAAAAAATTTTAATAAAATACAGTTTTAAATTTTCCTTCTGTGGGTTAGTGCTTTTGGTGTTATATTAAAGAAATCTACCTAAAACAAGACAACAAAATTGTTTCTCCTATGTTTTCTTCTCAAAATTTTTTTTAGTTTTAGGTTTTTCATTTGGTCCATGATCTTTGAGTTAAATTTTGTGTAGGCTGTAAGATATGACTTGTTTTTTATTTTTGCATGATTATACAGTTGTGCCAGCACTGTTTCTTCAAAAGAAAGTTGTTTTTACTAACAAATTAATTTTGTACCTTTGTTGAAAATCAGTTGTCCATATTTATGTGGGTCTATTTCTGTACACTCTATTCTGTTCTATTTCTTTGTGTATCTATCTTATATAAATATAACCCTCTCTTGATTATTGTGGTTTTTTAATACATCTTGAAAACTATGTAGTATTAATCATCTAGCTTCTTTTTAAAGTCTTGCAAACTTGCTAAAATGAGTTTGGTTCACTTTTAAAAAGATTTCATTAAATTTTTTTACATAGGTAATCATCATCTGAATATAAAGAATATTTTACTTCTTTTCCAATGTGGATGACTTTTACATCTCTTTCTTGCTTTAATATATTGAGCAGGACCCTTCAGTAAAATGTCAAATACTCTGAGATGAAAAGTGTTCATTCTTTCACCATTTAAGCATGATGTTTTCATAGATGTCCTTTCTCTGTGTTTTTTCCTAGTCCTAATTTGTTTTAAAATCAGAAATGGATATTGATATGATAAATGTTTTCTCAGCATGTATTAACAAAATCAATGGCTTTCTTTTTTAGGTTTGATATGCTGAATTACATTGATTATTTTTATTTACCAATTGATATTTTTATTTACCAATTCTGCATGTCTCAATACATCCTATTTTTTTAAATATTGATAGACTTGTTTTTGAAATATTGTTTAGAATTTTTGTATCTCTGTTCAAAAAGGTTACTGTTCTGTGGTTTTCTTATTATATATTTGTCTGCTTTTGATATTATAGTAATGCTGGCCTCACATAATAAGTTAGGAAGGATTTATTTCTCTACAATTTTCTATGAATTAATATAAAACTGATATTTTTCTTCTTCCATTGTGTTGTAAAACCATCTAGGATCACACAATTATTTTGGGCAGATTTTTAACCTATAATTTCAATATCTTTAATAAATAAAGGACAATTCGAGTAATTTCTTCCTCTCTCCCTCCCTCCCTCCCCTCCCCTCTCTCTCTTTCATTTCTTTTTTTTATTGTTCAAAACATTACAAAACTCTTGACATATCATATTTCATACTTTAGATTCAAGTGGGTTATGAACTCCCATTTTTACCCCATATACAGATTGCAGAATCACATCGCTTACACGTCCACATTTTTACATAATGCCATATTAGTAACTGTTGTATTCTGCTACCTTTCCTATCCTCTACTATCCCCCCTCCCCTCCCCTCCCATCTTCTCTCTCTATCCCATCTGCTGTAATTTAATTCTCTCCCTTTTTCCCCCTTTCCCCTCACAACCTCTTATATGTAATTTTGTATAACAATGAGGGTCTCCTTCCATTTCCATGCAATTTCCCTTTTCTCTACCTTTCCCTCCCACCTCATGTCTCTGTTCAATGTTAATCTTTTCCTCCTGCTCTTCCTCCCTGCTCTGTTCTTAGTTTCTCTCATTATATCAAAGAATACATTTGGCATTTGTTCTTTAGGGATTGGCTAGCTTTACTTAGCATAATCTGCTCTAATGCCATCCATTTCCCTGCAAATTCCATGATTTTGTAATTTTTTAGTGCTGCGTAATACTCCATTGTGTATAAATGCCACATTTTTTTTTATCCATTCATCTATTGAAGGGCATCTGGGTTGGTTCCACAGTCTAGCTATTGTGAATTGTGCTGCTATGAACATCAATGTGGCAGTATCCATGTAGTACGCTCTTTTAAGGTCTTCAGGGAATAGTCCGAGAAGGGCAATAGCTGGGTCAAATGGTGGTTCCATTCCCAGCTTTCCCAGGAATCTCCATACTGCTTTCCAAATTGGCCACATCAATTTGCAGTCCCACCAGCAATGTACAAGAGTACCCCTTTCCCCACATCCTCGCCAGCACTTGTTGTTGTTTGACTTCATAATGGCTGCCAATCTTACTGGAGTGAGATGGTATCTTAGAGTGGTTTTGATTTGCATTTCTCTGACTGCTAGAGATGGTGAGCATTTTTTCATGTACTTATTGATTGATTGTATGTCCTCCTCTGAGAAGTGTCTGTTCAGCTCTTTGGCCCATTTGTTGATTGGGTTATTTGTTATCTTATTGTTTAGTTTTTTGAGTTCTTTGTATACTCTGGATATTAGGGCTCTATCTGAAGTGTGAGGAATAAAAATTTGTTCCCAGGATGTAGGCTCTCTATTTACCTCTCTTATTGTTTCTCTTGCTGAGAAAAAACTTTTTAATTTGAGTAAGTCCCATTTGTTGATTCTTGTTATTAACTCTTGTGCTATGGGCGTCCTATTAAAGAATTTGGAGCCCGACCCCACAATATGTAGATCGGAGCCAACTTTTTCTTCTTTCAGGTGCAGAGTCTCTGATTTTATATCAAGCTCTTTGATCCATTTTGAGTTAACTTTTCTGCATGGCGAGAGAAAGGGATTCAGTTTCATTTTGTTGCATATGGATTTCCAGTTTTCCCAGCACCATTTGTTGAAGATGCTATCCTTCCTCCATTGCATGCTTTTAGCCCCTTTATCAAATATAAGGAAGTTTTAGTTTTGTGGATTGGTCTCTGTGTCCTCTATTCTGTACCATTGGTCCACCCGTCTGTTTTGGTACCAGTACCATGCTGTTTTTGTTACTATTGCTCTATAATATAGTTTGAAATCTGGTATCGCTATACCGCCTGATTCACACTTCCTGCTTAGAATTGTTTTTGCTATTCTGGGTCTTTTGTTTTTCCATATGAATTTCATGATTGCTTTATCTATTTCTACAAGAAATGCCGTTGGGATTTTGATTGGCATTGCATTAAACCTATTACCCAAAGTAATAGGGTAATATCGCCATTTTGATGATGTTAGTTCTTCCTATCCATGAACAGGGTATATTTTTCCATCTTCTAAGGTATTTTTGTATTTCTCTTGTTAGGGTTCTGTAGTTTTCACTATATAAATCTTTCACCTCTTTTGTTAGGTTGATTCCCAAGTATTTTATTTTTTTTTGAGGATATTGTGAATGGGGTGGTTGTCCTCATTTCCATTACAGAAGATTTGTCACTGATATACAGGAATGCCTTTATGTGTGTTGATTTTATATCCTGCCACTTTGCTGAATTCATTTATTAGCTCTAGTAGTTTCTTTGTAGACCCTTTTGGGTCTGTTAGATATAGTATCATATCATCTTCAAATAGTGATAATTTAAGTTCTTCTTTTCCTATTTTTATGCCTTTAATTTCTTTTGTCTGTCTAATTGTTCTGGCTAGTATTTCGAGAACTAAATTGAATAGAAGTGGTGAGAGAGGGCATCCCTGTCTTGTTCCAATTTTTAGATGGAATGCCTTCAGTTTTTCTCCATTCAGGATGATGCTAGCCTGAGGCTTAGCATATATATAGATTTTACAATGTTGAGGTAAGTTCCTGTTATCCCTAGTTTTTCTAGCGTTTTGAACATAAAGGGATGTGTACTTTGTCGAATGCTTTTTCTGCATCTATCGAGATGATCATGTGGTTCTTATCTTTAATTCTATTGATGTGGTGAATAACGTTTATTGATTTCTGTATATTGAACCAGCCTTGCATCCCAGGGATGAATCCTACTTGATCATGGTGCACAATTTTTTTGATATGCTTTTATATTTGATTCGCCAGGATTTTATTGAGGATTTTTGCATCTAAGTTCATTAGAGATATTGGTCTGTAGTTTCTTTCTTTGAAGTGTCTTTGTCTGGTTTTGGGATCAGGGTGATGTTGGCCTCATAGAAAGAATTTGGAAGAGCTCCTTCTTTTTCTATTTCTTGAAATAACTTGAAAAGTATTGGTATTAATTCTTCTTTGAAGGTTTTGTAAAACTCCGCTGTGTATCCATCCGGTCCAGGGCTTTTCTTGGTTGGTAGTCTTTTGATGGCTTCTTCTATTTCCTCCTTTGTTATTGGTCTGTTTAAATTGTGTGTGTCTTCCTGACTCAATCTGGGCATATCATATGACTTAAGAAATTTATCGATATCTTCACTATCTTCTATTTTATTGGAATATAGGGTTTCAAAATAATTCCAATTACTTCTGTATTTCTGTAGTGTCTGTTGTGATATTGCCTTTTTCATCTCGTATGTTAGTAATTTGAGTTATCTCTCTTCTTCTCTTTGTTAGCATGGCTAAGGGTCTGTTGATCTTATTTATTTTTTCTAAGAACTAATTTTTAGTTTTATCAA